GTCTCTTTGCCCTTGTAGTCCGTTAGCGTTGAAAAACGCTAACTTAACGGACCGAGGTTTGCATCTTTTCGCCCTTAGATCCATAATTAATTGTTAAAATTGAGGATGGCGACTAGTACGCCGATGTGCTCGCAGACGGCTGCGAGTCTTTCTTGTGGGTCGTTGACTGACCTTAATTTGGAGGCCAGGGCCGTAATCTCGCCAGCGTCGATGGAGCTGGCGAGTTTCGCTACCAGTGCGAAGTCGGCTGCGAAGCTTGAGCCTATGTTCGTTCCAGTTTGCGGGGCGGGGCGCGGAGGAGCGGGCGATGCCACAATCTTGGCAAGCGTGGGAGCGGTTGCAGATGGCATGGTGGGTGAGGGGTTCGCCTTGACCACCGGCGGTCGCACCCAAGCATTTTTTGGGGGGGGAGGTGGTGCAGCTGAGGGCTGCGGGATAGTAGGGGGCGCGGGGCGTGCTGCGCGGGGTGCCTGAGCCTTTGTGGCTTTTGCGGAGGCCTTGTTTTGGCCGGGACGGGGAGCGCGGGGACATCCACGGTAGTTAGCTGTGTGGCCCTGTGTGCCACAGAGTACACAGCTAGGTGGGGTCGGGGTGCCACTCACGCGAGTGCATTGCTTGGTGCCGTGGTCTCCCAGGCACTTGACGCAACGTTCGCGCGCGTAGCAGTTTCGGGCGGAGTGCCCATAATTTTGGCAGCGGTGGCACTGCCCGGGGTAGGTCCGCTTATTTGGCGGTTCTACTGATAGGCCTGAGATCAGGCAGACACTTCGGATGTTGAAGATAGATTTCCCCTCTGGGGAGAGATCTAGTACCACTAGTACCATGTCTAGTGGCGTTTTGGCCCTGCTGCGGTACATCCTGTGTACCTCGTGGACGGGGTAGTTTTGTGAGCGGATATCTGCGAGGATGTCCTGGCAGTCCAGCTCCTTAGGGACGCCGCGTATTACTACGCGCAGTCGTTTCTCCTCCTCGAGGGCATAAGTGTGGTAACCCACACTGTTTGTCCTGAGGAAGGAAGTTAACTGGCGATGATCCGTCGATGTGGGAACCACTACTCTGATTCCTAGTGAGGTTACCCTTGCATGGGTAAAGGATATGCGCTTTTCCTTCAGCGCAGCTGACACCCTGTTCCAGGCTGTCTTGTCCTGGATGATTATAGGAGGAGGAGGCCTCACTTTCCCCGCGTGATCGCGGTCGGTTTTATCGGCGTTAGCCGGAACGGGTGCGCCATCGTTGGCACGTTGGGTTTTAGGCGGGGGAAGATCGCGCGCCCGCTTCGCGCGTTTGGTGCGCTTGGCACCCACAATTTGAAATTCCTCTTCCGAGGAGGAGGCAGTGTCGGAGGAGTCGCCTGTTTCGGCGACGACGTTGGGAGCGTCTAGCTCCATTTCCGTTTCAGAGGAGGGGCGGTTGGGAGCAACCTCCTGAGGGGACATCGGCTCCGGGGTACTCACTAGGTGGTCCCCGGGGGAAGGTGGTTTTGAGGACAGCTCGTCGTTGGCCTCCTGAAGGGAGGCCGCCGGCGAGGCAGGGGCGTCGTCATGTATCACATGTGCGCCCCTGCGCTCATCGAAAAATGCCTTTAAGAGGCCAGGACATTTGGCCTTTAAAAAGGCCACGAATTGTGGAATGTCATCCTGGGACAGCGACATGTTGTCCCAGGAAACACTCCTCTTATAAATTAGCAATGCACCCGACTCTTAAGTCGGGTGCCAATACCTAAAAATAATTTAAATTTATAATACGGACAATGCGCTACTATAAAAGTGGACACAAAAAATAAGCCGCTACAAGCCGCGTATATAAGGGCCTGTTGGGACCTGTCCAGGTATGAGTCGCCCTTTATACAAGGATTAGTCACCGGCCGGGCGACGGTTACCCGGCCGCTTTGTGTACAGTTAACCGCCCCGCCGCGTACGGCGGGGGGGTGTGTGCCTATTGTTAATGTAACAATGGAATGTAGTCACCGGAGTGACTTGTGTACCTGTTGCCGATACTTGGCCGGGGTGTCGAAGGCGGCGCGGGTCGCCGGGGAGGAGAGTGCTGGTCTCTGGCACCGGCTCCGGAGCTGGTGCGCTGCGCTTATGGCGCAGTACACCACCCTAACACTTGTTAGTCCGATGCACTAGAGTTCACAACACTACACAATTGTCACTTGTAACTGTTCACATGCACTCACTGCACTCGCGACGCGACGAGGTGGCAGCGCGTGCCGTGTACGCGAACGGACGGCCGTTAAAAAGCGCGCGAAACTAAGGCGACGAACGAGAACCTCGTGCCCAAGTTGTTCTCTACTTTTCTTCGTGTCCGACGTGTTTGCGTATCCGCTGACTCCGTGCAACAAGGCAGCGCTACACAACGGAGTATTGATGCCAGTAGTGACGCGTGCGTCACCAAAGGCTATCGAATGAGCAATGAGTTGTGTTTGCATGGCTGTGTTTCGGTTTAAAGGATGGGATATGGCGTAAGTTTACTGGGTACAGAGGAATAACACTTGAGTCCTCAGGAATGGCAACGCATGGGGGGTATCATGGGCGAAACAGTATACTCTGTTATGTCCATGGTACTGCTCATGTCTATAGGCGACGGTTATCACTTTCCATCGGGTGGGCCGTCAGCTTGTTTGCCATTCTAAGTTGTATAAAAAAAATTCTGCTTTGGAATTTCTAAATAGGTTTTTGTCGTTTAATAAGTATATTATTACATGATTACGTAATGTTTTAATTCGCTAATAAGGCACTTCTTACATAATTAATTAGAAACATTGAAGATTATTAGATTGGTTTTGAAAATTGACGACTAAGCGCAACGTTAGCAACTTCCTGAAATTACGAACGCTCTCAATCAGTTATAGTTGAAATAAATAGCATTGTTTTAAGGTAATTATTGAATAGGGAAAATAAATACGTTTCATAATATAACATAGATTGATGAACGTTAAAAAAAATAGATTTTCCTACTAACAGGACGTGTCCAGTCGTTACGTCAATACGGAGCGATCAAAATCTTCTGTCACTTTTGTATTCAATTTCTACTTTTAAATACTTTAATGGTAGGTTCTTAGTTTTACAATTATTATATTTAATTATTGTAATTTTTAAATTGAATTATATTTATAATTTTGAAATTGTACTGCTGCCGTAACCATTTTGTATTGCGCCCGCTGTAGGCTCATTTTACAAAAGGTGTTCTTCTTAGAACAGCAAAACTGGCAACACTTGTCAAAATTTAAACCTTATTAAACAATGTCGCAGTATTTTTCAATGAAAAATCAAAAACTGCGAACTGAAATGCAATACATATCATACTACTGGCATTGAAATTTTATAATTTTTTGATAAAAATGTATTTAGGAATTTCACAAGTATCCAAATGTTTAATTATTTTATTAAGTTTTCATTGATAACAATATAACGATAAGTTATGTGCAATAGTTTATATTTCAAATTGCTAGTTCTTTCGTTGCAATTTCGTTGATAATTCAAAATATTATACATATTTATTATTGTAATTTATAGATAATTTGATATAAATGCTCTAAGAAATATTAAATGTACATATTTATTAATTTGTTTACTATATATATATTTTTTTAATAATGCAGTTATTTAAGAACCAAATTGTTATTGTTATTGATTTTGCTTAAATTTTAAATTAATTATTTAATTCTTTTATATGTATATATAGTCTCCTTTAAGAATTACTATATATATAAAGCCTCTTTTGAGAATTATTTTGAAATATTTATATTTTACGCCGTCATGTGTTAAAATTATCACATCTATGTAGGTAGTAAAGGTCAGTGTAGGTTTCTATCCATGTAATTAGGTCATTTGTATTTTCAAACTTATGACGTAATTAAGATGTCAAAAAAATGTTCTAAAATTTCAATTTACGTTGGTTATTCATGGCATCATGTTTGTAAGCAATTCTAATTAATAAGTTGTTCCAAAAATGCACCGAAATATATAATATATATAATCAACATGACTGTTTACAACAAAATTAGTAATCACTACAATATGAGAGCACATATATTTACTTTTAAAATACTGCAGCATTTACATATACATAGAAACCACTAAATGAAACCACGGAAAATTATTTCTTTCCAAAGGAAACAGCACCAAATTTCTATCACGACTTCACTTAATTTTTATTATATATAATAATATATTAGAAAAGCACTGATATATTTATTTTCACAAGCGATATTGCATATTTTATAACATTAGTATTAGTCCAAGTATAATAACAGGTTCGAATCCTGTTCTTTATCAAAATAATATTTGGTTTATTTTTCCAAACTTCAGATTTGCCATTTCTACACCGTTTAAATTTTTTGCTGCTACTTCATCGAGGTAAAACTGTGGCTAAGTAATATTAATAGTATAAACTATTATAGATCATATAGCTCTAGATGGAGAATTTAAATATAAACGCTTTGTCAAAAACCGGCCAACTTTTATATTAATATACGCATAAATAGGGATACCAGAAAGTATGCATATTACCCAGTAATGTATATTAAATGTAAAGCTAAATGGGAAATAAAATAAAAAAATATTAAACTCATACTTCATATTAAAAAAAATTAATAAACACAGTATTATGATTCATAATGATTCTTATAATTTTTTATTATTCAAAAATAGACTTAAAGTACGTATCATTAAAAGTGATCGCAATTTTGATTATAAACTAATCATGTATTTTAATTTTGTAAATTATGTATATACATATGTTTAAATACTGTGATAAAAAAATATTTTTATTTAAAATTTTAAAAGTAAGCTTCAATTGAGAAAATTGCAATAAAATGAAATAATCTGAAAAATTATGCTAATATTGCTATAATTATTTTATTCTTTTTTTTTTTAATATTCTTTAGCATAAAGTGACTTAGCTTTAACAGGATATTGGCCCGTTTTTGACACTCGATACTCCATCTCGGGGTATATGATCTAGACATACTATGATACTGTTGATTGTTATTACAGAGATCGCGGAGTTGACGCACAAATTTTCTTCAGTGACATTGTACAGGAATCAAACGGTGAGGTACGCGGCCCGTATGCATGCGATCATCGCTTGCCAGATGGAATTTCAACTCTACCCCATGGATATACAGTCCTGTCCAATTTACATAGAGAGCTGTGAGTATTTATACTGTAAGCGTATTATAAATTGATAGTGAAATCAAGCCAGATACCAGAGAACAAGCATTAGAACACCCAGATCCAAACTAATTTTTGATTCCTAAATAGGCGTAACCAAGAATTGAATTCGGAATGTTACTTTAATAATAATAATAATAATGAAAACTACAAAACATAATATATTAATGATAAGTTTAATAAAATATTAATTCCATGGTAGCAGCTGGAATGGCACAGTTTAAGCTGCAGCGTGGCGCTGCAGCGCAAATTTTTAGTGAGACCACCACTCGATAGGTAGCACTCGAGAAAGAGTATTAAATTTATAATATTTTATTAACTGGACCTTATAGATGAATATAATAATATATTACTTATTGCATAACATACGATACAACAAGTTATAATAAAGATAAATAGAATAATTACGCAAAACGATATACTTATCACCGCGCTATCAAACTGACCCACGAAATGGGTATTGCATTTTTCAAATTTTCAAAGTATATTTTAAAGTTACAAAAGAATACGATATTATGTTTTTATGTGGTCATAATCACTTTATCTCGAATAGAAAGAGAGAGAAAAACTTAACTATGATTATAAAATCATGAAAAAAATGGTATTTAAATAACAGTCATCAGTCATCAGATATCATATGCCTTGTATAGTCAATGATGGTAGCTCAGAACAGTTCAATATCCGTCGGAGTTGTAATAGAAAAGTCGGGATAATAATGAGACGTAATACAGAGTTTTAGCTAATAGGGATCTGGCAGTATCCAGTCACTTCTCTTGGCCTCATACCAACCGTCTGGGACTAGAAGGTCTCTTCTTTTACCCGTATATAAAAAGACTATTTCTTACTAGAAAATACGATAAAGAATAAACAATGAATGGCCTAAATTATTAAGATAATATTCTCAGAAAAATAAATAAGGGGTGAGATACCCCCCCCCCCACATTTTGGAAGGATGTAAAGCTCATCCAGGTTTTTTAATGGGTGATAATGGAGTGATAACCCCGCCCGCGCTATCGGTATACACCGGCCAGGCTCCAGTGAGAGATGATAGGTGAGGATGAGACAAGTCAAGTTAGCCCATCGTGACGAATTCAAGAAGAATTTTTCACGATGATTTCCAGAGGGAACCACGTGAAGGTCGATCTAATAGGGTACATTTCTAGCAATGGGGCTGGCAAACTCCATTGCTAACAATCCCTTTCCCCCCCAATCTCATTCAGTTGATGTAATAAATAAATAGCATCAAAGTCTTCAGATGAAATTGACGAAATATCAACAAAAAAAAACAGAAATGAATACAATCATAATAAATCATTACCTCCCGAAGAATAAACCTTAAAAATGTAGTTATTAAAGAACTAACTACGGTTAATCTTCTTTACAGTTTCTTATAGCAATCAGAAAGTAAGATTCCGATGGAGCGAGTCCGGGGTGACCATCAATCCTGAACTGAAGCTGCTTCAGTATCACATCGGGCAACCGTTGCGTTTGGAGGAGACGAACGGATATATGATCGATAAGGACGGTACGTTTTAGAAGTCTTATCACGTAATAAGGGTAGACTGTTTGTGTGTAGCGTAAACAAGAAGATTTTACACTGCAAACATGCCATCAATTATTAATTTCACTCGGCGGAAGGGATTTCGATGAACGACAAGATGTTTCATAGACGTATTAAATTTGAAATATTAATTTTAAAACTTATGTTTTTTTTTATACAACTTAGAATGGCAAACAAGCTAACGGCCCACCTGATGGAAAGTGGTAACCGTCGCCTGTAGACATGAGCAGTACCATGGATATAACAAAGTATACTGTTTCGCCCATGATACCCTGCGTTGCGATTCCTAAGGACTCAGAGGTTATTCCTCCGTACCCAGTAAATTCACGCCATATCCCACCCTTCAAACCGAAACACAGCCATGCAAACACAACTGCTTTACGGTTAAAACACGAATGGGACAGAAGTACCCAAGCAATCGACTTTTATACAAAGTCTCCCTCTGGTAAATGTCAATATTCAATTTACGATACTGGATATCGGTAATTTAATAAATGCAGTGAGTTGATTAAATATTCGATATTCCGTATTATAAATTAATAATATTTTAATTCGAAGTTTTTCCAAGAGTACAGCATGGGTTTTTTCAAAAAAGGGTAAAGAGGTTTATTCAGGCAACACAAGTGTAATGCTCCTGTGCATAGATTATAATAACTGCTTACTATCAGGATCTGCTTGTTTGTCACCACAGTGGTATAAAAAAAAAATCTGAAATCGGAATTTTGTTTTTTTGCTGTGCAAATAAAAATCAACAGCTTCTATCGCTATAAACATAATATTAAATCAATATATAAAACATCATCGGTTGCAGAAAATTTGAAATTCAAAACTAACAACGTGATCTGCATAGAAACCTTACGGATTGCAAAAAGAATTATGGAAATTAGAATTTCTCGATAGCCACAAAAAATACAGATGGATTGAGACGAATATTTATTTTAGAAATAATATAAAGAAGGAGGGGAATATTGCTTTACTTAAGTCGCTCAAAACGAATGATAGATCAAGGATCAAACGTGTTACTACAAAATTTTAGGATGTTTTTTTTTTCATAGAAAGCAACTTTCCTAGTTGCTTTTTAAAAACCAAAATATTTGTGTTTAAAGAAAGTAAACTCGAAATATCGCCTTATAATAGCTATCTGACCAACGTATTAACGTATAGCCTATGTTTCTTCTCCTAATGAATATAAAAATGAATGATGATGAATGAAATATGAATCCATATCCGGCATTAAAACTTTTATAGGTTGTCGACAAAAAAGCCATTAAAACAAGGAACGAATTAAAAAGAACACAACTGTTGAATTTAGAAATCGAATAATTTTAACAAAAATACAAGGAGTCTACAACGAAAAGATCGGAAGCTTTGGCTCAATATTTGAACGTTTCCTGAATATAAAATAATTCAGATAAATGAGGGCGTAACTTGACCTTTTTATTTCAATGAAATTTCAAACAAGAGTAGGAAACATTACTTACATATTAACTAAATATTATAAAATTTATCGCGTGTTATTATCATATATTTTTTAAATTGAAGATACATTCAAAATTTATTCTATTAATGTATAAAAAATACGTAATATGTATTAATACACATGAGGAAAAAATTATCCTAATGAAGAAGAAAAAAACAATAGAAGAAAATAAATTTAGCTTAAATGAAGCTTTTTTTATTCTTGTTTCTACTTTCATAGATTTTTCTACAATTTAATATTAAAAATAATATTTAACACAAAAACATATTTTATTACATACATACAGACATAAGCAGTACCATGGACATAACAGAGTGTACTGTTTCGCCCATGATACCCCTCACGCGTTGCCATTCCTAAGGACTCAGGTGTTATGGCTCTGTACCCTGTAGTTTACTGTAATATCCCACCTTTCAAACCGAAACACAGCCTCTATTTCACTAATGATTAACCGATTTCATTACGTTTTTAATCCTAATTGTATTATTCATCTCTTTTCCTCACAATTACTTCTCTATCTTCAGGTAACTACTCCAGACTAGTAGTGTACTTCAGATTCGAGCGTCAGATCGGTCACCACCTCATCCAAACCTTCGCGCCATCGTCCCTCGTAGTAATGTTATCCTGGTTCAGCTTCTGGTTGGACCTGGACGCCATTCCGGGAAGAGTGACTCTACTAGTCACCTGCATGTTGACCCTGGTCACCATGTTTACAGGACTACGAGCTGATATACCACCGGTCGCATATGTGAAAGTAAGTCTATATTTTCTGTTCTATCTATAGTATCAATCCACTAGTCTTTACCTGCAACTTCGTCCGTATGACCGGGGCACATCATTTGACCAAAATAAGAATCTATCTTTTTGCTAACCAATTTTTCAAAAAATTTAACCCCTATGAGGTAAATTTTCTACTCGGCTATCCAAAATTGAAATATAAAACGTATCCTAATTATCACATACGTAAAACTAAGAATAACGAGCTATGAGAATTGTCAATGATCCCAAGCTTACAAGCGATATCGAACCCTCAAGTCTTAGGAGAGATTTGTCTTACTCTGCGGATACTACCGCCTGTACAACGGATTGTGCTCAAAGAAATTGTTCAATATGATGCCCACGGCCACTTTGTACCATCGTACAGCTCACCATCGACAGGGAGATCACCCTCATACCCTACAGCCTAGATGGTCGCGCACAATACGGTTTCAAAGATGTTTTCTCCCACGAACACTCAGGTTATGGAATGAGCTCCCTGCCGAGATTTTCCTAAGAAACTATAGCATGGAGTTCTTCAAAGGGGAAATAAAGAGGTTTCTTCAGGATCGGCAACGCGCGCGTAATATTCCTAGTATTGCAGGCATTCATAGGCTACGGTAACTGCTTACCATTTGGTGGGTCGTATACTTATTTGCCAACTCAGTGGTACAAAAAACTAAGACTATAAATAAATCACTCTGTTAAAACAAATATGACCAACACGAAGTAAACCCGATCTTAAAATGATATCTTAATAATAATAACTAATTTTTAATTCAAATAAACTTAATTATAAACATTTTCTCTCAAAACAAAAACTCAGTTTTTGTTGTTTCTTTATTCAAATAAAAGTTAAATTTATAACAAAAACGTAAATGGATAAAATAACTACATACTACAAACTTCATATTGATGTAACGAAAGAAAATAAAAAAAAACTACAAAGCTACAATCAATCACAGTATTATTGAAAAGATTCCCTTCTATTCCCTATTAGAAGCACCCGTTCACTAGTATGACGAATGGGTCAGCCATCATTGTGTTCAATCATATTATAAAGAGCTAAACGACCTGGATCACCACGCCGCCGTCTCTTCTAAAAATCTATTTGAACCATAATGGATTGTTCTATGCATTGTTTTCAGGCACTGGACTTGTGGATGGCGGGGTGTATGATGTTTGTATTCGCAGCGCTCGGAGAGTTTGTTGTAGTTAAAGTATTAGATAAACAATACCAAGTGAACAAGAGCAAAATGCAAGAAGCCCTGCCGAGAATTATTCCTGTGGTAAAATAGAAAATTTTATTATATATATATGTTTGTGTGTGCGTGTGTGTGCGTGTGCGGGTGCCTGCATGCGCGCATGCGTGCGGGCGTGCGTGCGAGCGTGCGTGCGTGCGTGCGTGCGTGCGTGCGCGCGTGCGTGCGTGCGTGCATGCGTGCGTGCGTGCGTGCGTGCGAGCGAGCGTGGGTGCGTGCGTGCGTGAGTGGGTGCGTGCGCGCATGCGTGCGTGCGTGCGTGCGTGCGTGCGTGCGTGCTTGCGTGGGTGCGTGCGTGCGTGCGTGCGTGCATATGAATGTAATTTACTCCTTTATATACATATGTAATAACATAGAAATAATTTTATTTTTAAACCGTCATAGAGTATCTCTGAATATGCTAAATGTTTAAATACATATGTAACGGGAAATTATTAAACTTACTGCATTTTTGTCGTATCCGACAATTGTTTCCTAAATCCTAGAAGTTGACTGGTAAATAATGTCAATAGAATTAAATCTGCCTTTTTTACTACATTACGAGTATACTGATCAATAAAATTTAAATAAATAAATAATAATATAAAAAGATGAGGTTTGATTATTTGTTTTTTTGTAATGGATAATATTAAAACTACTCGACCGATTTAAAAAAAAATTCACACATAAAAAGCTACATTGGCAGCGAATGATATAAGCTATACAATATGTTTGAAAATTCTGTCTAGCTGGGCGAAGCCGGGCTAGATCCCTAGTTATATAAATGCCATCTATATGATTGGATACTTAGACTAGCTTGAGATAAGAAGTAATGGCCTAATGAAATATAGATTTCGAAATAATTACTTGAGATCTCAGGAAATAAACTACTTGCAGACGTCGCTTAACACTGCATTTAGATGTACAAACTCTTGTAAATCTATCACAACTACCAATTATTGATTCTTCGAACTATGCTCTTAGCCTATTTTTAATTTACTGTTTTTTTTTTTTTTTATACAACTTAGAATGGCAAACAAGCTGACGGCCCACCTGATGGAAAGTGGTAACCGTCATCTATAGACATGAGCAGTACCATGGACATAACAGAGTATACTGTTTCGCCCATGTTACCCCCCATGCGTTGCCATTCCTGAGGACTCAGGTGTTATTCCTCTGTACTCTGTGAATTCACGTCATATCCCACTCTTCAAACCGAAACACAGCCATGCAAACACAACTGCTTCACGGTAGAAACAAGAATGGGACAGAGGACTAGTATATATTTTATATTATTATTTTTAGACTTTAGTAATCATCATCATCATATCAGCCTTTAACTGTCCACTGTTGAACATAAGTCCCCGCCTTAATAGCTTTTGCCGGTAGTTGCCACGGTTGGCAGGCGGATTAGCAACCGCATATAAACGGAGGGAAAGGAATTGTTAGTAATGGAAACTAAGAATCCCATTGCTAGCAATATACCCAACCATGTCGACCTCCTCGCGGTTCTCCCTGGTAACTATCATGGTTAATTACTTGCGAATTCATCATGATGGGCTAACTGGCCTGTTTTCATTCTCATCCATCACCCTTCACTGGTGCTCCGCCAGCGTAACCCGTTAGCGCAGGCGGGGTTACCATTCCATTTTTACCCATAAAAAAAACCGCAATTAGGCTGTGGAAATGTTTTAAAAGAGACGCTACTGCTCATTCCTCGCCTTCCATTATTCGCCTCTTACGACACTCACGGGAAAAGAAGGGGTGACCTATTCTATGCCAGGATCACTGGGCTAAGCTTTGGTAATAGTAACATGAAAATAAACTATAAAAAAGAGGACTTAAACAATCTCTAATACGAGTAGATTAAGTATGCTTTTGTGTTTTACTTTGAAAAATTTTGCAGTGAAATTACTGGGGTACTGATTAGCTTCATGTTACTGAAGCAACTTGCAAGTCACGCCTCTGATTTGCAAGTTTCCATAATCTACGGGGCTGCTTTTGCCACTTTCATTATGTATTTTATAAATAATGAAATAACTAGTAATTTATTGGCAGAAAACTTCCTTTTAATTATAAATAGGTTTTACTTAGTACATATTTAAATTTTTGGAAATTTGATAGTGTTTTTTGTAATTATGTAGGTACTATTTATTTATTTATTTAAATAACTTTATTGACCAAAGGGAGACTTTGTACAAACGTCGTTTGCTGGGCGCTTATGTCGCATTCGTGTTCCTACCGTGAAGCAGTTGTGTGTTTCGATTGCATGGCTGTGTTTCGATTTGAAGTACAAGGGTATACATAACACCTAAGTCCTCAGGAATGGTAACGCATGGGGGGTATCTTGGGCGAAACAGTATACTCTGTTATGTCCATGGTACTGCTCATGTCTGTAGGCGACGGTTACCACTTTTCATCCACGGGCTGTCTGCTTGTTTGCCATTCTAAGTTGCATAAAAAAAGACCAAAGTAAAATAAGGTACAAAAGGCGGACTTACTACTTGTAGCATTATTTACCAGTCAACCTTTAGGATGAACAGACAATGAGGAACGCGGTACTTCATTATTGAGATAGGTAAAGAAAATAACATCATTTACATCCATCCATATTTTGTGAACCCTTCACATGACATTCCTTTCAGAGGGCTGTAGCAACTCCAAGCATGCTGCTCTTCAACATAATGTAGGATGCTAATGATTTTTGTTTAACCCTGTAGAGATTAAACGGGGAGAAGGGTTCGTGCGGCACGGTGGCCGCGTGGGAAGGCAGCGGCGTCAGATGCCGTAAGGTGGACATCACGTCGCCGACGTCGCCGCCGGCCGCCACGCCGGCCGTCCACCCGGCGCCGTCTGCGCCTCATAGCAACCCGCATTTAGTCGGCGTCGAGCGACGGCAGAGCATATTACAAGTAGGTACCATCCGTACATAAAAATAAATAATACTGTGTGATTTTAAATGTCATCAAAAGTGGAACTTATCTAATTTTCGCATATGGGGTCAGCTAAGCCTATACGGATCTTTAGTGCTTCCCCCTACCTTATACCGTCATTTCATAGATCCTATGTGTTACCCTAACGATATCCCGCGGTTTAAGATATCTGTAGTTCCCTGGCTCTGGATAAGCCGTTCCCAGTAGACTCATACGCATACTTGCCAACGAATCGCAGTTGCACTTCAAGTGTTCCATGGATTCCGATTTCTCACCGCACAGTCTGCACAGTGTGAAAAGTGGATGGTTCTATCTGTAAATTGCGGTGGCCCTATGGTGTCACGTATCTTATGTGCTTACTTATTATAATATCTAATTTGTACCACCGTGGCATGCGAATAAATATAAATAAATATATACCATATCGGCCGTTAATCGTCTACTGCTGAACGTAGTGCGTTTTTGCCAGTAGTTGCCACGCTTGGTAGGCGGATTGGCAACCACAGTTAGATGGATGCTGCTGCACATCCCACGACCATTAAATTTTCTAAACGTCTCTTACGACACCCACGGGAACAGAAGGGGTGGCCTATTCTATGCCGGGACCACACAGCAAGCAGATACACCTTTTGTACATTTCAAACTATAAACTATAATAATTGTGAAAATGGAATTGTTAGAAATGACTAGCAATAAATGACAATGTGGGAAAGCAGCTGCCTTAAATGTTGCAAGTTGGGCAAACATCAATGCAATCAATAAAACAATGGCAGATCATTTTACAAGTATGTATAATTTTTATGGGGCATAGATGGCAGTAATAATAGAGACTGCCATCCTATGTCCTTCGTTCCATATAGCACGTTTACACCATGAAGATGAAATTATGATTATGAAAGATGTCATGTACGACATAGTATACTCTGTTATATCCATGGTACTGTTCGCATCTATAGGCGATGTTTACCAAATTTTCAATATTCTAATATTATTAATAGTATTTAAGCGGTGACAATTAATTGTATTATAATATATAGTCTGAGATATTTATTTATTTACAATTTCAAAACATCAACTTTTCTCAAAACCCAAAATAGTATTATTTCACCGAAATTAAACAAACAAACACGTACTTGATAAAAATCACGCTTTTCCCTTTCCAACATGTTATAAATTAGCTGTTTTAAAAAGATTATCCCAAATTTATCATGGAGAAAATATCTTCAGAGATCCAATTTAATTAAACGAACCTGTTGGAATGGAACCGGAGAAATATCTTTTTACGTTCAATGGTTTAATCTATAGAGAAGTATATCGTTTCCATCAATAAAAGTCAATTTAAACCGATAAGCATGCAAATTTTTTTTTCGATTAGAATTGATAACAGAATATTTGTTGGCATTTAATTAAATATGAAAATAAATAAAAATAAAAAAGCCCTTTATTTCCTCATCCTTAAAATTACTATTTCAAAATATTGATATGTGTTTGTTAGTGTTCAGTTAGTTTTAATGTTTTGCTGAATGTCTAAATGTCATATCCAAACAGGGTTTCACCTATATTTAAAAATGTTTGTAACAAATTAAAAAAAAAACGAAAAAAGATAACCAAATTGAGATTCTAAAAAATTTACATAAAATTTCAATGTGCATTAAAGGTTAAATAAATATGCTATATATAGCAAAATATGTAGATTGGCCCCCATAGAAACTTTATCAAAATCGTTTCAGTAATTTATTTTATAAATCTAAATAACTTAATCTTTTTTTTTTATACCCGCAAATATTGTGGAAGTAAGACGTGTAAACATACGGTCCGTGTAAATTAATTTAAAATACTATTAAAAAGTTGATTTTCGGTAGTGCAACTTATACAAAAACATTTATTAATTATCAAACTTACATTCCATTGCAAAATTACAACTTAATATTGTAGAAGTGTAACAGAGAATAAAAATACATTAACAACTTATGAATTCCGTTGCGTTCATGCAGTGATTTTAGTGTAACGGTGAGTCATCGCTGCAGCAGCGCAGTCACGCATTTCTACCTACCTGTTGATGTTGAGCGGCCGTTCAGGAAATATAATTTGTTCATTATTTATAACTACCTACATATTGAGTATTTGTAGTTTAATTATACTACGTTATAACTTCAGTACACGTGCAAATCTATTAAAATGGCATCAAAGAAAATATCTTGTGCTGGATGTCTTAATATCATAATGGGCAAACTGTATCTTAAATGCCATACGTGTAGAGATATTTATGACTTATCGTGTGCTAATGTTTCTGAAAAACGGTTTAACAACAATATGACCAAGGAACATAAACAGGCTTGGGTATGCCCTGCATGCCGAAATAAACAACCTAAGGGAGATAATACCAATACACCCATACGTCAAGGGAACTTAGGAAACCTAAACAAGTCTTCTGATAGCGAGGATTCTCAGAGCAGCTATGTCACTCAACGAAAAAAGCAATCAACATCGTTGTATTCGCATTCTGAAGATGAATTGAGAAGACTCATCAAATCGGAAATGCGAGCTTCGCTGCGTGAGGAGCTTCCTGATCTGATTCGCCCAATGTTAGAAAAAGAACTATACCCCCTTAAAGAAAGACTACAAGATCTTCAAAACACAGTTCAGTATATAAGTAATCAGTATGAAGATTTAAACAAGACAATATCAACATTGTCATCGGACTACAATAAGATGAAATGTCAATGTGATAATTTGGAATCCACAGTACTATCTTTAACGGAACGCATTAATACTATAGACCAAAATCTAAGAGATTCTAATATTGAGATACAGGGAGTCCCCGAAAGTAAAACAGAAAACCCGCTTAGTATTATTAAGAAAATTGCTGAAACTGTGTCTTACAACCTTTCTGACACTGATGTTTTGAATTGTACAAGAGTTGCCAGTATGAATAGGAATAGCAAGCGGCCAAGAGCTATAATCGCAAAATTACGAAGTACACGATGTCGTGACGAACTGTACTCTGCCATTGCTAGATATAATAAGTCTCATCCCCACAATAAACTTAACTCATCAAACCTCGGTATCAGTGGTAATATTGTGCCAATATATGTATCGGAGCATCTTTCTCCTTTTAATAAATCTGTGCATGCTGCAGCCAGACTCAAAGCGAAGGAATTAGCTTATAGATTCGTGTGGGTACGAAATGGACACATATTTATGAGAAAAAACGAAACCTCACAATTTATACATGTTAAAAATTTGCAGGTGTTAGAGAATCTGCAGTGAATTTGTAGTTTATAACTTCGTAGTGTACTTTTTGTTTTGTTTTTTATTTTATTTTTTTGTAATTATCTTTTTAAAATGAATAAGATGGATGTAACGATTTATTATCAGAATATCAGAGGTATGAAATCTAAAACGAATGATATTTATAAAACTATTATCTGTAATAACTATGATATAATATGTCTATGTGAAACTTGGCTCGATGATACGGTATATTCAGCAGAAATATTTGACGAACGGTATAAAGTTTATCGTAAAGATAGACCTATTGAATTTTTAACAAAATATAGTAAAACCCATGGTGGAGGAGTGTTAATAGCAGTAAATAAAAGTATTTTATCGGAGTGTAGATATGATTGGAATTCGTCACTTGAAGATGTATGGGTTAAAATTAAGCTAAAACATATTTCTTTAAATATTTGCACAGCTTATATGCCTTCATATATTGCGAGTGAGCAATTCTTTGACTATCTAGAAATTTGTGAAGAAAGAATGTTATCGTCGTTTGGTGAACATTTTCTTATTATAGGTGATTTCAATCTACCAGATTATGAGTGGGATAACACAAAAAATTTTAAAACTATTAATGAGAAATATTTGCTTATGAGAGACTTTGTATCTCGAACTTCACTCGCTCAACGTAACTTTACTTTTAACAGCAATGGGAAGCTTCTTGACTTGGTATTGGCAAGTACTGACTTGGTATGTAAGGTGATGGACGCGCAGCCACTTAGTCGTGTCGATATTTACCACCCCCCTTTAGAGATTAATATTACCGCAGACAATACTTCATCATTAAAGGAAAATATCATTAAAAGATTTAACTTTCATAAATGCAATTTTTTAGGTTGTACAGCGGATCTCTCGAAAGTCGAATGGCATAAATACTTGAATCTTGATTGTAATAATTTCTTACAGTTATTTTATAATGTCCTATGGGAAATTATAGAAAAATATACTCCCGTGGCCAAATCTAAAAAATCCAAATATCCGTCCTGGTTCTCTCAATCCCTGATAAAACTATTAAAGGAAAAGGATAAATATCATCGCAAATATAAAAAGTTTAGCAACCCGCGTGATTTTGACACGTATTCGTTACTAAGATCCAGATCTAAAGAGTTATTTGATAAAAACTTTAAAATTTACATATCACAAATGGAAGAGAATATAAAGACTAATATCAAAGCATTCTGGAGATATACTAAGGCTAAAAAATTAACAAACGATCTTCCAAACCAAATGTTTTACAAAGAGCAACGTGCAAACGATGGTTATAGTGTTGCTAATTTGTTTGCAAGTTATTTTTCTTCCGTTTACAGCCAGTCTACCGCCAAGTCATATACCCCAAAGTTTTCTCAGGCAACGCAATGTCTGTCTCATATTTATATTTCAAAAGACGATGTTATCAAGTCATTGAAATCTATCGATGCTACTAAGGGTGCAGGGCCCGACGGAATACCGCCAATATTTGTTAAAAATTGTGCAATAGCATTGGTTGAGCCTCTAACTATATTATTTAACAAGTCGTTGTCATCGGGAAGTTTCCCTGATTTGTTCAAAATTGCTAAAATTGTGCCAATACATAAAACAGGCTGCAAAGCAGATATAAGTAGCTATAGACCAATAAGCATTCTTTCTTGTTTTGCTAAGATCCTGGAAGGGCTAGTGTATAAACATATCTATTCTCATCTTAGGCATATTATTGATTCCAGCCAACATGGCTTTATAAATAATCGTTCCACATTGACAAATCTTCTTGAATATATCCATTATATAAACGTAGCCTTTAATAACAAAGTACAAGTTGATTCAATTTATGTGGATTTTGCGAAGGCTTTTGATAGGGTTGACCATGAGATACTTTGCATCAAAGCACATCATTTGGGTATTCATGGCTCACTTTTGCTTTGGCTTAAATCTTATTTAATGAATCGTCCGCAAATCGTAACTATTTACGGCTATGATTCAGTCCCGTTTGAATTAAAATCTGGTATACCCCAGGGCTCTAATTTAGGCCCTCTATTATTTATTTTATTTGTCAATGATCTTCTCCAAACTTTAACATGTGAGCATTTAGCCTTTGCTGACGACATAAAGATATATCGTACGATAAGTTGTGATCTAGATTGTGAAATACTGCAGCGAGATATCAATCGTTTGCATCAGTGGTGCATTGATAATAATATGAACTTAAATATATTTAAATGCCACGTCATATCTTTTACTAAAAATAGAATTCTTATAAGTTATCCATACTGTGTTAATAATATGCGTTTGGAAAAAAAGGAATCCATTCGTGACTTAGGTATTATACTTGACTCAAAATTATCATTTATACAACACTATGATTATTTAGTTGCAAAAGCAAATAGAACTCTAGGGTTTATCTTTAGAACAACTAGACCTTTTAAAAACTCGCATGCTATCTTGTCACTCTATACATCACTAGTTAGAAGTTCACTTGAGTACTGTTCTGTTATTTGGTCTCCTTTTTATCAGAACCACATTGACAGAATAGAAGCAATTCAAAAACGCTTTGTTAGATTTTTGAGCACTAAGTATGATCTGAGAAGGAAACTTCATTCGTATGAATTAAGACTTAATCATTTTAACATTAATTCTCTTATAAATAGAAGATCTATGTCTGATTTCATTACTCTTTATAAAATAATAAATTATAAATGGGACAGTAGCACATTGTTGAGCCTTGTTTCATTTCGTACAGGTAATAAAAGAATACAAAAATTATTTTATATACCGATTTGTAACAATAATGTATCGTATCACAATCCAATTATCCGCATGTGCAGAAAATATAACAATGTATGCAAGGACCTTGATATCTTCCAACAATCCTTGCAATGTTACATTAAGGCTGCCAATTTGTTACTTTAAATTTATAGCCGTCATTCTTTTAATGTATATAATATCGAATGTTATGCAGAGCAGTTATTGGAGTGCAAATTTAATGTCGTTTCATGTAATATTTATTTTATAAATGTATTAATTTGTAATCTGTTGCCTTGCTATAAATAAATAAATAAATAAATACCACTGTGGTGGTATAAAATATAAAAACAGAGAGGTAGCAAACAAGCATACGGCCCATCACAGGCCTATGAACGCCTGCAATACCAGAGGTATTACGCGCGCGTTGCCGACCCTGAAGAAACCTCTTTACCCCCCTTTTAAAGAACCCCATGTTGTAGTCTCTTGAGAAAACCTCAACAGGGAGTTCATTCCATAACCAGAGTGTTCGTGGGAGAAAACATCTCTGAAACCGCGTTGTACGCGACCATTTAGGCTGTAAGGTATGAGGGTGAACTCCCTGTCGATGGCGAGCCGTACGATAATAGTCACTACCATATATATATATAATCACAATTGAAGTCGGTTTTTCTTTGAAACACGATCTTAATTATTGACAGTTTTTTTTTTTGCAATATAGTAGTTTTGCAAATATGCTGACGGCCATATAATGGAAAATGGTAACCGTTAGATCGAAACAACACCATGGGCGTCACGTAATACACTGTGACGCCAATTAATAATCATTCTCGAACTGTTTACATAGCATTAGCTGTTATAGAGATTCATCTCTAAGATATAATAAAAAAAATAGTTATATTTTTTTTTTTTTTTTATACAACTTAGAATGACAAACAAGCTGACGGCCCACCTGATGGAAAGTGGTAACCGTCAACTATAGACATGACTAGTACCATGGACATAACAGACTATACTGTTTCGCCCATGATACCCACCATGCGTTGCCATTCCTGAGGACTCAGGTGTTATTCCTCTGTACCCAGTAAATTCACGCCATATCCCACCCTTCAAACCGAAACGCAGCCATGCAAACACAACTGCTTCACGGTAGAAACACGAATGGGACAGAGGTACCCAAGCAATCGACTTTTGTACAAAGTCTCCCTCCCTATTTATATAATGTACATTTATAATATTATATATATTATAATTTTAACTATGACGTGTCCTCCCGTTCGACGAAATCTTTTATCCTCATAATCCCTCCACACTCATCTACGCGCTATCCCATATCTATCAGTGAGAGTCAATCTCTAATATTTTTAAGAGTAGACTTAAAGAGCATCTTCTATCTCTATGAACATATATTTATTTATCTATATATGTAAGTATATTATATGTATATGTGTATGTGTATATAAGTATATGCATAGATGTTGGTATATATTTATGTGTATGTATATGTGTATTTATACGATTAAATATAACGCAGTTAATTTAATTTTGTCTAATTTGTTTAAAAATTGTTACGATATTGTACACCGCTCTATTCGCTGACATTGATGCTCCTTTTCACTTTGGGTGTTGCTGGAAGAAAACTCTATAAGAGTTAAGCTCGCCTTTGTACATTCGATTATCTCTATCATATTCTTATAACTGATGTGTACAGTAAAGAATTAAATAAATAAAAAAAACTATGATTCCAGGTTGCCTGGTTAGACGCCGACACTGGTCAAGAGCGAGTACTGTGGCGAGAGATTGACAAGCTGTCGCGCGTGGTGTTCCCCGCACTGTTCCTCCTTTTCGTCACTATGTATTGGCCAGTGCTGTTACTCAAGACGAAAACTTCATCATAACAATTACAGCATCCGGAAACATGAGAATGTCATAGTGAATTTGGTAAATTTAAGGATATTTTCTTAGATACTGTATTATGTAGGGTGACATCAAATTCGTTAGCTTCATTACAGGAGAATATTGTATAGATAAAAAATTAATATTTTTCCTAAAGAATCATCGAAATCGATAAAATTTTGAGCTTCTCATAAAGAACAAAACATGATAGACATTTTAGTATGAGAGAATTACATTTTTTTAAATAATCAATTTCATTATTAGAACAATGTTTTGAAAAAAAAAACGCTATATATTTGTTTTCACCCTGTATATTGAGGAATCGAAAACCGTTGTGCGCCTTGTGATTTCTAGTCGGTCGCTTTACGTCGTTTAAACTATTGTTGCTTGAAAGGAAATTTATGTAATTTAAATAATTTACAAAATATACATATATAAATATTATATATACTCTCTTTCAATAGAACATAATGAAAAGTTAAACAAATTTTATTATAAATTATCTCAGAAATCTTCTCTAAATGAAATTAGTGTCAAATCGAAAGACTCAAATTTCGAACACACGTTTAGATTTTTAATTTTTACTATTATTGAACATCAGCCAGTGTTGCCTCTCTATCTTGCTTTTGTAATTAATTTTTCGTAATTATGTTAATGGGGAAGAAAGTTTCTTAAGTGGCGACCACATACAGGCGAATGCAATGTAGGACAACCCCCCAATAGATAGAGTGATGACCTCATATACATTGCAAGGAATCAGTGAATTCAGGTAGCTCAGGACCGTTCCTTATGGCAGTGTTATGTGGGAAGCCTATGTCCAGCAGTGGACAATTAATGACTGAGATGACGATGATGAATTATGTTAATATTGTTTTTTTTATGAACATATTGCTGATCGTTGTTATTTATTATCTTTGTTATTATTTTATTAATATCTCATTTTTTAACCGAAACAATAAAGAGTTTTCATAAGTTTCATTTCATTTGTTCACTTTTTTTATTTCGTTCTATTGAAACAGATCATAGTTTTATTATAATAGTGATAATACTTTACATATGCCACAAATGGTCAAATGTTAAATTTCAATTTCGAATCTATAAACTTGTTATTACATATCAAAACTAATTATGTATGTAAGTTAAAAAATAAATCTAATAGTTCTGGCTTTAGTTGGAAGCACAGACTAATTACTCGCAGAGTAACAAGTTATTATGTATAACTCATTGTTTAATATTTAACCGTAGTACAACTCATTGCATTTCAATACTGTTCTCAGTGGCTATATAATCTTTAAATAGGGACATTAATTGCATACATTAATAATTAAAATATTTCAAATAAATTATTCAAATATTGATGATAATAATGATGATGAAATAATCATCATCTTCATATATTTTTCATTTAAACATATTTATTTATTTATTTATTATGCACTGCAATAACTGAAGATTTTATTTCACAAAAGACACATATACATGATTGATATCTACGTGATCAATATGGGATAAAAACCCATTTATTATAAAAGATGTAAAGGTCACAAAGGGTAAGTAAATATATGGTAAACCTACTATACGTAAATACAATTTTCTAAATCTCCCTTAAGCATGAAAGGAAATGGAATCTACACGTAAATAGATGTTATACTTCTAATAATGTAAATACGTCTACTTTTTAAAATAATCTTTATATATGTATATTTTGAAGTCTTAAATATTTTAGATATTATATTAATACATTAATATAGTTAATTACACATTAACAAGTTAAAAGAAATAAAAAAAACAACTGTGATTGTTGAATTTTAATTTCACACTTTATCCGACCAAAAATACAATAAATTTATTTAAATGGAAATACTTAAAAATGTTATAAACATATAATAATTACATAAACATAATTTATAATTTAATTATTATAAATATTTAATGTTATTATTGTGTTATATTTAACACTGTATGAAATCAAATTCTTACAATCACAATTGTACAACTTTGTTGTTTTATTACGATATTTTTATGAATTGTTATAAATACACCTGATAAAATATTAAATTATCCAGATAAATACTTTTATAATATAAAAGTGTCAGAATAAAGTTTAATTGTTTTATTATTACTGTAATTGTAAAAAAATAAACTGTAAAAAATATGCACAAATTTTATCTATAATGATAATAATAATAATTTAGGAAATAAGTCATATTCCTGTTTGAAAATCTTATTGTTTATTTTTAAATAAAATGTAAAAAATATTTTTAGTTATTTATATTAGATACGGGTAACGATACAACGATACGAAGCGTTAAAAATAATATTACATTCCTTATGTTATAAATATGTTATATATGTGATAGAGGTGGGTAATATATACCATATATATAGTTACAATATGTATATACTGGTCTAATAACGTATTCGTTATTGGACCAGACCATTATAACATATTCGGAAATAGATATCGGACCGATATGGACGATATCGAAATGGGTGACGACCTTTTTTTCACCATCAATGTCTAGAAAAACCTAATATAATCGGATCGTTATCCATATTATCTATGCCTAATATGTGAATTGTTATTGTACTATTAATATGCTTAGTGTCTTCAAATCGTCCATTATAGAGGTGATAAAAAGAACAAAAATTTATTTATTATATTTATGAAATAAATAATACATATACAAATGTAAATACTTAAATAAACGTAAAATAAATAATCTTTAAAAAATTAACAAAAATTTAAAAGTTAACAATCACTTTATTTTGCACTTTCCATTTTGTTCTGTAATGCTCATAAATAATTTTAATTAAACGTGTTTTATTGTCACAATTTTGTATAAATACTAAATAGTGTTAATCGCTTTTCAAAATATATAAATTATTTGTAGCAATTGAATAATTAAGGTGCTGATAGTTTAGAAGAAAAGGTGATTGTAATATTTATAAAGATTATACAGGCTGCTGCATAGTTAAAAATAGGTAAAGGAATATAAAATAATGTTAGAGTATTCTTTGTTCTTTATGTTAAGTAATTAAATATTATGAATGCCGTAAATGACACATACATACATACATACACACACATACACACACACACACACACACATACGCACGCACGCACACACACACACACCCGACCGCACGTACGCACGCACACACCCGCACGCATCAGCACACACGTACGCACACACATGTACGCACACACACGTATACCCAAATAGTTTACTTCCGTCCAGTTTGTTTTTATCACTTCCGTGACGCAATGAAAAACCTTTGTGGAGATTGTAAGGAAGGCACGGTTTTCCCGAAATTTCCACGGAAACGGAAAATAACAATTTCCGCTTGTGCGCGTCCATGGCCAACGGCTAGCAATTTATAATCGAAACCTATTTTCAAATATCTCAAATAGTTTCGTTGAATATAGCTAATGTGTTAAATATAAAACATACTAGCATTTATCCGCGACTTTATCCTTATTCACTGACTGAGAAAAAGAATAGCCTATGTCCTTTTCCACCTCACATGTATATTAAACTTTATATCAATAAAAATAAATATTACATATGCAACAGCCTGTATATTCAATAAAGGGTGCTTATATCATCAAGTCATTGAGTCGCAAGGTTGCAACCATTTTCCAGCTTTAAGTCATTGTGATAGCTTATATTTGTAAACAATTATATTTGAAATTCCGTTGTCATAATAAATATAAAATTAAATAATATATTTAAGGTTATAAATTTAGAAATTAGAGTAATTTTGAACAAAAATATTTATTTATTTATTTTCCTCTTACCTTTTTCTGAATGCCTCTATTTTGCATTCTTCTGTAGTTTAAAATTGATACCCAAGGTACAAATATTGCAAGTATTATAATAATTTTATGGACAAACAACCAAACAGAAATGGAAATCATGATATCAACCTACGCACCGTTCTATTTTTTGTTTTATAGGATATATAAAGGTTTTAAAAGTGTAATTATATATTTTAACCAAAAAAAGACTTTGTACAAAAGTCGATTGCTTGGATACCTCTGTCCCATTCGTGTTTCAACCGTGAAGCAGCTGTGTTTGCATGGCTGTGTTTCGGTTTGAAGGGTGGGATATAGCGTGAATTTACTGGGTACAGAGGAATAACACCTGAGTCCTCAGGAATGGCAACGCATGGGGGATATTATAGGCGAAACAGTATACTCTGTTATGTCCATGGTACTGCTCATGTCTATAGGCGACGGTTACCACTTTCCATCAGGTGGACCGTCAGCTTGTTTGCCATTCTAAGTTGTATAAAAAAAAATAGTTTAAAATCAATTCTAATAATAAAAAAATAATATAACTAATATAGAACAATAGATTTTTTTAATGGATGATAATGGAATGGTAATCCCGTCTCGGCTAACAGTATACGCTGGCAGGATACCAGGGAAAAATGATGGGTGAGGATGAAAAAGGAGATCAGTTAACCCATCGTGATGAATACACCTGGCAGCACGATAGTTTCTAAGGGAAACCACTGGGAGGTCTACTTGACAGTGTATATTGCTAGCAAAGGGACTGATAGCCCGCATTACTAACAATCCCTTCCCCCTAGGGCAATGATAAATGGAACAGTAAACTCGACTGTGCTAACAGTATACGCTGGCGAAGTACCAGTGAAGGATGACAGGTGAGGATAAAAAGACAGGTCAGTCAGCCCATCGTGATGATTTCATCTGGATTTAAGCATGATTGTTTCCGCCAGAATCGCAAGGAGGTCAACCTGACAGGGTATATTGCTAACAATGGCGCAGCTAGTCCCTGTTACTAATAACCCCTTCACGAGCTGATGGTTCACCTGATGGGAAGTGGTAACCGTCTCCCATTACCAAAGGGGTTGCTAGTGTGTTGTGGGCCTTGTAAAAAACAGTCATAATATTGTTTGTCTGTCTACATGTTTGTTCCGGCATCACGCGAGAACTACTGCACTGCAATTAAACGTTATTATCACAGTTGTTCCTGAATGTCTAACTTCATAGCTGATGTATGTTTCAACTTGAAATAACACCATCTAGAAGTGATTTATTCTGAAATACTAGGAGTGTCACGTGCTCGTTGCTGACCCTGAGTTTACGTGGTTAACATTTGTCCATATTTGTTTATTTAACATTCTCGATGAGAATGCCTAAAAGGTTAATGTTTAAATTTGTATTTTTTTTTAATGGATGATGAATGGAGTGATAACCCCGCATGCGCTAACGGTATACGCTGGCGGGGCACCAGTGAGAGGTGATAGGTGAATAATGAATAAAGGCAGGTCAGTCAGCCCATCGTGATGAATACACCTGGAACTCAGCACGATGGTTTCCAGGGGGAACCGCGCGGAGGTCGACCTGACAGGGTATATTGCTAGCAATGAGACTGGTAGCCCGCATTACTAACGATCCTTTCCCCCCTTTAAATTTGTATTGTATAATATATATGTATTGCATAATATATATATATATGTAGGATAGATTCGAGTAGAAATAATTGTGAAATAAATAATGAATCTCCACCATTTTGATATAGCTTAAAAAACCATGTCACGGCCGGAACGGAGCACAACGTGGTACAATTAGTTCACGGTTCACGCTACCTGAACACAAACAGGTACATTAGCTGAGACAATACGTCACAGTATGAGTACCCAGGACGTGATGGGAGGTTCTGCGCAAATCAATGGAAAATGGAGCAAGACCGAAACAAAATGTTTGTCTAATGCAACCTACACGCGTCACGTCAAATTGTCATAGTACCGTGCCATAGAATCGCTGTGATCGTATGCATTATGAAATAGCAATATAATGACGTCATTGAGCAAACGAACAAATTGAAAATGTACCTCCTTATTTGCAACGTATTGTAATGACATAACTATTTAATTTGAATGGGTAATATAAATGCAGTGTTACGAACAGTAAAACTCGATTGTATTTTATATTATATTGGTCGCGTACAGCACGGTTTCAGAGATATTGTCTCCCACAAACACTCAAGTTATACAATAAATCAGTACAATAAACCCAGTAGATGTTTTTTTAAGAGATTACAGCATGGAATTATTTAAAAAAGGGGCAGAGAGGTGTCTTCAGGGTCGACAACGCGCGCATAATGCCCCTGGTTATAGGCTACAACAATCGCTTACTATCAGGTGGGCCGTATGCTTGTCCGCCAGCTCTGTGATATTTAAAAAACCTATTTCCATAAAGCGTAGTGTTATAAAAAATACAGAAATTTAAAATTAATACCAGCCGACTCAATCTCAAGTTAAAATACCCTATAATATGAAAATTCAGGCACAATCTAGAATACCCAGACCCGAGTTAATTCGGAAAAGTTTGTTTCCTAGTTTCCGAGAATCACACCCGGGATCTCGTTTAGCAAAAGCAACATGTCCTCTACTGTACCACAAAGATCCTAATAAAGAAATAGATAACATATTTATTTGCATGTTCTGAAACTATTTCAAAGCAGATTGTAATATTTTGAATATATTTTACTAATAAATATATTATACTATACCTGCCACGCATCAAAAAAAAAACATCAAAAGAAATTATATCTTTGCTTAACTTTAAAAGATTATAAAATTCATTATTAATCTGTTTTATACTCCCAAATACCTAAAATGAAAGTAATGTAAAAAATGGAATAAGTAAAGGAGTTGATTTTTTACGAGGAAAAAATTCAGTGTAACAAAATAAGAAACGGCCCAAGCATGTTTTCTTCTTTTTTTTTAAGTTAAATTAAAAAAATAATTAGTTGCAAAGTATCTGTTAAAAAAATTTCGGCTATTGTATTTCCTAAATATCAAATTCAAGAGAATGAAATATTTTTGTACGTCCTAAAACGAGATAGATAGATAGATACTCTTTAGCGTTTCCTCCAAAAGATAACAATAGTTAACTTATTATAAATATAAACAATTACAAGAAATAATCACAATGAGAAAACAATGGGCAACCTTATCGCTAAAAGCGATCTCTTCCAGGCAACCTTTGGATGGAGAGGAGTAATTATAAACAATTTGATGGGAGGCACGATGAAAAATTTTGTTATATATATATATATATATATATATATATATATATATATATATATATATATGAATCACCTGAAAATATTCCGTATGCCGTGTCAATGATAAATGAAGATATGGATAAAATCGCAGAGTGGTCAAGCAAAAACTCCTTAGTACTTAATCCAGATAAATCAAAATGGATGATTTTAGGAACCAAGAAACAAGTGGTTAATATCTTAAACAATAATCCATCTTTATGTATCTTGGGCAGAAATATAGAACGCGTGAAGGAAGCTAAAAATTTAGGTGTTATATTTGATGAACAATTAAGGTTTGAAAGCCATATTTCGAATGTGGTTAAGAATTGTTTCTATCGTCTAAAAATTTTATACAGAATTCGCCATTTGTTATCGGTTAAAGTTCGCATCACTTTATGCGAGTCCTTAGTTTTATCTAGATTCAATTATGGTGACCTAGTGTACGGCCCTCGTTTACTTCGTAAAACGCAGCGTTTGATACAAAAAGTTCAAAACGCCTGTTGTAGGTTTTCTTTCAACATTTCTCCTCGTAGTCACATTTCACCCTACTTGAATATGGCGTCTATGCTCAATATGGAATCCCGGCGACAATTACATTTAGCTACTTTGTTATTTGGTGTAATGAAATTTAAAAATCCGGAATATCTTCACAGTAAGTTGAAGTTCTCCACTTTTTATGATAGGTATCATTCTAGATCAGTGCGACCACCACTGTCACTTCAATGTCATAAAACTGTGGCATTTACCGGCAGCTTTCGCTATCAGGCCACGAAATGTTGGAATAATATCCCACCGCCCCTCAGAATAATGACATCTTTACATACGTTTAGGAAAAATATTAAAGAAATGCTATTAGAAAAACAAAAATCGGTGGCGGAAGCTGTCTCCCTTTGTACAGTACATTTTTATTCTTCTCCGTCGTAGTACTTAATACACCAATATATGCATACTCATATACACATATGTATTATTTATTTGCGTTTATCTTTTTAGTATATTATAAGGATTTAATTATTATTATGATTATATGTAAGTCTATTTTATTTATATTGTTTATACTGTGTTTAAATTGATTCTTACCCATTTTTTCTCTCATATTTTAGTCTTATTACTTTTCTGTCACACCTTTAACAGACACAATTTAATTCTCTCCATCCTTGGGTTGTCTGGGAGGGATCGCTGTCTGGCGATGGGCATGCCTGCTGTTGCCTCTTTAATATGCTTTTATGTAACTAGTTGTATTTGTATAATTTGGGTATTCATTTTGTTTTGAGTGCTTGAAACTGATAGAAATTAACTTCTGACTACCCTTCTTCTAAATAGCGAGTATAACGAACGCACACTATGTATTTGATCTATATTTCTTTCTTTTTTATTATTTTTTTTTTTAGTGGTATTTCGCGGCTCATTTTTGGCCACAACAGAATATCAGTGTTTTGCTCTTTTTAGGGCAAAGCAAAAAGCTGAGTTGTGGCCATTTTGCATTACTGTGGCACACGCATGAAGAAAAAAAAAATTATTATGCATTCTGATTTTGTTTTTGGTTTTTTTTTTTTTTAATCTTTTGTACATGTATCTTTTTTATCTTTTTTCACATTGCTTTTGTGTCTTTTGTTTGTGTGCTGTAAGTTATGCAAATAAATTATCTATCTATCTATCTATCTATCTATCTATATATATATATATATA